AATAGCAGCATGTCAGTGCCGAGTAAGCAAATCAATTAATTGCACAAGGCAAGGAACCGAACCCCCTCCACCCGCATGAGAAAAAATTAATATTCATATCATTTAAAATGCCCCAAGAGTCAAATAAGTATTTATGTATACAATCAAATAGCGCAAACAAACGTGTGTGTCTATAGAAGCGTATTTACAAACATCAATCAATCGAATCAACTAACACACTTTGAACATACACCCACATCCACATCCACATGTCACACAACACACATCCGCACAACAAACCAACTAGCAAATATGCAATGCAAATATTTTAATTGCATTTCATTCGCCGCCGCTCTGTGGGAAGCAATTGCAGGAGGAGCATAAAAGCCGCTTGAAAATGCATAAATCATACGCACCGTGGTACGTGAAAACAGCGTGCGGTGGGTGGGATTTCGCATGGATATCAAGTGTTTCGCTGAGTGCGAAGCACTAATTGCTGGATTATGCCGAAACCAAGTCGCAATCGCTTGCAATTGGCCATAAGTGACTTAATTACCTGCTTAATCAGATCAATCGCAACAATCGCCTTTTTTGCTCCTGCTGCATCCTGCATTGTCTAAGGTGCCGTCCATTGGCTTTGTCTGAATATTTAAAAAGTACTCGTTCATACAAAGCATTATTGCCGAAGCTGCAATGTGAAACACAAAGCTGAGCGCAAGAACCCAGTTAGTGTGTGTTTAAATAGGGAATTGTGCTAATTAAGGTGGCAACACAACAGAATTGTAAGATATTTTCATCCAGATCTCTCTCGATTTCCACAAATGCAAAGTGCACTAGTGTCTACAAGTCATAGATATTGTTTAGTTACTTATGTATACACAGCCCATATTAAAGAGATTTATACATACATACAAGGCAATGTACTCGTATATTCATAACAAAGAGCTATCCAACCCAATTGTGCATATGTTTCAGTGTTAATAAAAACTTTAATAAATCAAGCGAAAGAGCAGAAACTAGTTAGGCTAAAGTTGAATTCTATGGTCGAAAAATCAATGCTTTCAAATTTAAAACCAGCTCGGAAAAGCTGTGAAACTGGAGTATTCTCTCCTGAAATGCGAAATATCAACAATAAATACATAATCTTACCACGAGTATGTATCCTATTGGTTTCATGGACATCTCAAACAAAGTAACGCAAACCACTCTATTTATACAAAAGAAATGCAAGCATAAATTAACATTAACGAGCATGTATGCAGCATTTTCAATTTCAACGCTCAAACTAGGCAAAGAACGAGTAAATCGGCCTGAAAATCAAACATAATCAATGCAAATGAAATAATGCCATGGAAATATGATAATAAAAGTATATACTGCCATTTGACAGCCCCAGCCCAGAATACTTCCGCATCGACAACAAGGCCCATAAAAATTGAATGGGAATTATTGAATATGCAAATGGCAAACGGCAAATGGCAATGTTTGCAGCTTTAAAGTTTACTCGAACAGCAAACGGCATCGAAAATCAGAAAGAATATGTCAATTTGTTTTCAATTAGATGTGTCTCGTTGTTGTAATAATCCCCAAATGGAAAACAGAATACACAGGCAATTTGCATGTCAATTTTCATTTAATCCACTAAATGTCAAACAACCCCAACGTGTACATACGCTTCGGTAAAGAACGGAACTTAAACATAAATAATTATTAATTTTTCTAGCTGTTTTTACCTCTCAACGTGTTTACTTGCATCTCGCTCTCTAATACTTACTCTGTACGCTCTAGATTTCTTCACTAACTAACTACGAACTCAACTTTCTCGATTCATAGGCTAGAATAATTAATTGTGTTTTCGCGATTAAACCCTAACATTAACCTATAAATAACTATAATTGAGGAGACGTAAAAAGGTTAAGCCCCTAATAAGCCGCTAACAATAATTGTAAGTGTAAATTTGTTAATTACCCAATAAACAAGAAGAGTTTGCAAACGAAAAAATATACAAATATATATATATATTTACGTGTATTTATGTCTATATACATACATGCATATACCAAATGCCGATGTGCGAGTGCATTATGCCATCACAACCACGAAATACAATATTTTTATCCGTGCTGCTGCATTTCAAATGTATGATTCGAATAAAATAAATATGAATGTGAATTCTGGTAATTATTTGCCGTAGCATGTGCGAATTAAAACGGCAGAATGACCGAATTGTAAAATGGCTAAATGAAACTAACATAATTTTCGAATTAATTATGCATTTCCAATAAAGTGATGGTTTTTTACTAAACAAACAAAGTCCGCAGCAGGACACTAACCCTCATTTGCGAGGCAGGTTTTCGATTTCCCGCCGCTCTGCTAACCACACGCTTTCCCATTCTTTGTTTCTCTTTCATTTGCTGCAGGGTCCTCCGGGCTTGGATGGCATGAAGGTATTTTCCCCAAAATCAACCGCCGATGTGAAAACAATATGGTAATAACCGATCTGTTTTCTGTGTTCGCAGGGCGCCCAGGGCGAGACGGGCCACAAGGGGGAGCGCGGAGATCCGGGTCTGCCGGTAAGCATCTGCAGCATTCCCTAGGACATTTCCGTAGAACAGCTCTTCAACTCCGTGTGGTTGCTAATTTTAAATAATTCGTGTCTTCTCTCTCTCTCTCCTTTTCATTGTTTTTACCTCTGTTTGCATGCGTATCTTTCTTTCTTGGCGTCGTTCACTACCTATATGCACATCTCTCGAACATCCCCAACCACCTCTGACCCGTGACCCCTGACCCCTGACACCCACCCACTCACCCCCACTGCACCACACCTACGGATAACTGACCCACCAAACAAAAGGGCACGGATGGCATTCCCGGGCAGGAGGGGCCGCGCGGGGAGCAGGGCTCCAGAGGGGATGCCGGCCCGCCCGGCAAGCGGGGACGCAAAGGAGATCGTGGCGACAAGGGCGAGCAGGGCGTGCCCGGACTGGACGCCCCCTGCCCCCTCGGCGCCGACGGGCTGCCGCTGCCCGGCTGCGGATGGCGGCCGCCAAAGGTTAGCATGCGTTATTCGTTATCGACTAAAAGCCACACACCCCCCACCCCCTTAAGTGCACAGAAAAAAATAATGTTGATTGAGGGTTAACCAGCCATTACATCATATCAGAAAAGAGCTGATACTTATTATACTTACTTTTAAATTAACACTTTTGATCTTAAGGAATTAAGTACTTTACTTTCCACTTACTATTGGTCTTCACTTCAGCAAAAAATAGATCCATTCGGTAATAGAATTTCATACATTTCTTAGTCATACCTGAATTTATTTGTTATTATTATATCAACCATTATACATTTGCATTTTCCCAATGAGGACCTCTGAAATGTTAGGCAATTTAAACATTCCTTAATTTGACTTCTTTTTAACTTAACATTATCACAACTAAGTCGTAATAATATTATTTCTTGGAGAGAGTTAACCCTTTTTCTCTCCTCCAAAATATATGTAAACTAAGATCAAAAGTCTCTTTAAAGAGCTGACATTGTTTTTTTTCTGTGCATCCCCAATTGGCTGTCGGAAAGTTGATCGTTGGTACTTTGCATGCGCCACTCGTGGCCTCCATCTACTTGGTAGTATCTTGTTGTTGTCCAAGTTGGTTAACTAACTTTTGCTTTCGCACACACACACACATACACACTAACACTAACACTAACACACTGGCAAACAAAACACGAACACACGAACACCAAACACAGGAGCCAATCATCTCGACGCCCGTGCACAAGGATTATTTGCCCGATGTAACGCAGCCGGAAAGCAACGCCAGCGATTACGAGCAGGAGGAGGAGGAGGAGGACGAGCAGGCGGAGGATAATGAAAACGAATATGATGAATATCAGGATAATTTGCATAACAATGAGTGAAAAGGAAGCAGGCAGCCAGCCGAGCAAATGGCGAACACAAGAACCTAAGAACCTTCCAACCCCCCAAACTCTCAATCCCCAACCAGCGAACACCCACCACCTACCACCCACACCAACACACACACACACATACAGACACAGACACGGGCACAGGACTAGTTAAGCATTTCCGATTTCCGCTGCGAATCCTGGATCTGTTTCGCTCTGTTGACATTTGCAATTAGCGCTAACAAATGCCAAGTGGCTGCTGCTTCTAACGGTTTTGCAAAGTAGATGCTATTAGCATACTCTATCTCTGTCCTTAACCCTCTGCTCACCCCTCTCTTCCACGCACAAGCACACGCACACGCACACAATTATCCTTGGCTAACACACACACACACTGGCTTAGCTTGGTGACGGGTCCTCCTGGCTCTCTATCGAATTCTCTCATCCAACTCCGGCCGTTTCCGGCTGAACTTCTCTCTCGCCCCTCGCAGGAAAACTGGCAGGCGTGGCTCAAGGACGAGCTTAATGCGCTGCAGCATCCGCGCTCCAAACACTAATTGCCGCCGAACGCCCCTCAGCGACTGCAGCACGGAGGCGTGGTCCCGCAATACCCAGACGAATCTAAGCGCTTGGTCTTAATTTTAGTAACTTGTTATTGTTAACTGTAGACATCGGACAGCACTATAGCTACCACACACATCGCATAGAAACATCCTACCATAAACACTGTATAATCTGTACCTGCATCTGTGCCAAATTGCTCCAGGTTGCCTCCAGTTCGGCGATGCCGGCTCCCTGACGTCGCAACCTCTAATTATAGTTCTACTTTACCTACTACTATATAAATTGTATCTACTGCAGCTACTTCTACGGCGATTTCGAATACCATAAGCAAGAACCCAGCTATTTTTTACAAGAAAACACTATTAAAAGGAAAAAACTAAAAAAAAATAAAAGTCGATAAAAACTAAGATGTGTGTTTCTTAATCAGAATATTTAGCCAGAAAGGATATGAAATTATAGTTATTTAATGCATCCTAATATTCCTATTTTCAGATACTTTTAAAGAACAAGTGTAAACTTGACAATTATCTAAAAAATGGGAAATAGCACTCAAAGAAAACAAACTCTTACGTAAGTCCGGGACTCAATTCAGTACAACCCACATGAACAAGCCATTAATACCTTTAGATAAATAATACAAACAAATAAGTTGAATACACAAACGAAAGCAAACAGGATGTGGCGCATTTCAAAGCCACGTCTCAGGAACTTTTACGTCGAGAATGGTGTGGCATACACCGAGGATCGAAAAGCAGTGCGACGGGTGAAAATCTCTGCGAACTCGCGACTCACAACGCAGCGTCTTGTAAGGCATTTCTCGAGTTTCGGATCTGTACAGGAGATCCAGTGGGATGTGGTTGAGCTGCGCGGATCGGTGCTCTTTGAAGAGGCCACCCAAGCATCCAAAGCTTTGTACTGCCTGAAACACAATCTGGATGGCAATGAGTTGTTCTTGCAGGCCAGTAGCACCTGGGATCAACCGCCGGAGAAAGAGGAACCGGGCATGGTGAGTGCTGACTATCTGCCCATCGTCGACGACGTTTGGCGTAAGGTGCTCGACTATCTGCCTCTGGATTCTCGTCTCAACTTTGCCTCCAGTTGCCAGAGGTTTAGGCGATTTACGAACTAGAATCGCAGCGTACGTGTCATGTTATCCATATGGAGGAGGTCTGCCAGTTGACGGAATGGAACATCAAGCAATTGATGCGCCTTTCCGGAGAGCACGTTCATCGCTTGGAAGGTGGCCCACTGCACCCGCGTTGGCCGCATTTCAAATTATTTGTCCAGCTCCTAGGCGTGAGCTGCCCGAATCTGACCGAGCTTTCTTTCTATCGCATTCCAATTACCCCCCCGCAAATGAGTGCCCTTTTCAAAGGTCGCAATGGCTTGCATAAAATCACCGATCTCTCTCTACGCCGTTGCGACCTTATAGATCGGGATCTTATCGACTTGCAATCGCTCACAGAGCTAAAAGTTTTAGATCTCCGAGAGAATCAGGGTTTTCAGGGAAATACCTTGGGGGATCTGCCAGTTTCAGTGGAGGTCTTAAACCTGTCGGGCTGCGAAAACCTAGAGCCCTCCCGTCTTCGCTATCTAGGAGCTCTGCCCCTTCTCCGCGAGCTGCGCTGCCCGCAGATTCGGCAGCGCAACTTCAATCTCGAGTGGATGGATGAGTTTGTAGATGATTTCCAGGCCACGGATGAGCATGTCTACCGCGATCTGGTTGAGAGCTGTCCGCTGCTGGAGGTGCTCGAGGTTACGGTGTGTCCGTACATGGACGAGCCGCAGCTGGGCGGGCTGTCCCGTCTGCGCACCTTGGTCCTTCGCGCCGTGCCCTTGGAGCCCGCACCCTACCAGGTGAACAACTCGCTGCTGTTAGCCCTCGTGGAATTGGATTCACTGCGGCATCTCGAGTTCCGGCAGGCTGGACCTAGTTTCGTGGATGCGCGCGGGTTGACGATCATTACCCAGCTCAAGGAACTGCGAACTTTGATTTTACGCAATCAGGACTTTGAGGCGAATGAACTGAGGCAGTTGCGAAAGCTTAACGCCTTGGAGCTGCTGGACCTCAGCGATTCGCCACATCTCTCCGACGAGATCGTCGTCGAGTTGGCCAAAACGCTTTGCGGGCTGCGTCAGTTAAAAGTTAAGCGATGTCCGCTCATCTCAAGGCGGTTAACAACGATCCTGAAGGAGAAGACCATGCTTAAAGTAGACCTTTAGAGTTCGACCTTGTTACGTTCCTTTTTTTTAGGTATTATTTTTTATTTATTTGTTTAAATTATATTTTTGTTAATCTGACGATGTATTTACTGGTCTTGGGGAAGGAAATCATGACTAGCTGGATCAGTATACATGTAGTTTATTAGAAAAATGTACCAAAAAGTTATGTACGACTTTGATAGAATATAAAAGTATGAGGCTTAATCTAATCAAAGGCACTATTTTTTAGCACTCCTTATTCCTTTAAGAGCTTAAAGTGTTTAACATATTTATGAACTGTATCCTTTACATAGGGTTTCAATGCGATGCAGGTTGGAATATTCTCGGGTTGTTCGATCCACAACTTGTGCTTAATCTCATTTTCCTTCAACTTTTCACTCAGCTTCACTAGGGCTGCCTCATCTTTTGCCTGGAAATATGGAGATTAATTTAATATTTTTAGACTGATATCCATTTAATGCAATAATTATTTTTGAGCTTATATTTGGATAAAAACAGATTATCCAAAATCTTTTGTTTCTTTTTTTTGGCAAATAGCAGGAAAATGAAATACTTTTGATATGTTTATGAAGATTGTTAGGGAATAAACGTAATGTCTTACCTCCAGTACCACCTTATGCATGTTGTCCAGATCTTTCAAATAGGCCACGGTGTCCGCATCTTCTGAATTTAAGTGTATAACGGCCGCTGTTGCATGGCAGCACTGGGCGATGACCGCGCCCATTGGCCAACTAAGCGCTGAACGCAAATCACTCCGGACGACAATATACTGCACAATATTGGTCATGTTTTATAAAATATATGAATTTGTAAATGTTTACTAAAAATGTTGTGAACTTAATGCCGGTAAGGAAGAAGAGAACCAGATGTTTGCAATGGGAGTTGCCAGATTGGTTTAAAAAGATGTGTAAACTGTGTTTACACTGGGGACGCATAAGTCGCACAGCGATCAGGGTGACCGCATTTATTAAATTATGCTTGCGGTATCTAGTAACTATATATTTTTTAACTACATTTTGATTCATAAGAAAATAAATAAATAGAAATATATTATTTAATTTTATTTTATCGGTGCTAAGCTATCTTTTATTGCAACAGCAGTGTGAACGCTTCGTTTTGAAGCCATGTATGTAACACGCATGTCATGTATAATTTCAAACTTCAGAGCTAGATGTCGCCACTTGCGCTGTGGGGGTAACGGCTCTTTTGAGGTTTTTCTGGCGTTTTTTCGGAAACAATTGAAATTTTAAGTCATGAGGAATCGATTTTCAGTCTTGGGTTTACAATCGACTGCAAGTTTTCCCGGAGAACAACTGGATTCTCCTAATTACAATCAAAATCGTGTACTTATGGCATTACACCTACAGAAAAGTCTGCTTATTATTCTTTACAACCAAAACTAGAAAGTCCATAAAAAACTGGCACATTTACTCATTTTAGCTACTGTTTCATCCAAGCTTTCTCAGTTCCTGCCAAGTTTAAATTCTGCTTAATACAGTTGAACTTCCATAATTTAAATTTATTGGTCAACAAAAACATTCCTCTGTTCTCTTGTTGCATAATTTGAGGTGGTTTCAGAAAACATTTATTTAAAAAACAAAAACTTGGGCAAGCCATGGCCATACCATTAGGGTACATATAGCTAAAAATCACTTCAAAAAACCCGTGAAAATGTTTTGTTTTTTGGTCCATATTTATAGTTTTATCCTGAATATACATATACTAACAAAAATAATTTATATTTGGAGGGTCAACAGAAAATTCGTTTGGAAAAACTTATTCGATCGTGGACACAATTAAAAATCTTTATTTTGTAATGTTCCTTTCGCAAACATTTAACACAGTGCCACAGGAGTTAAGATACTGGAAAAATATCCCTTTACTGGAAAACAGTTGACGGTCACAGCTAATTCACACGGTATTTTCCATTTAAGTGTTGCATGAGTGGGGGAGGGCGTAAACTAAGAGATCCCAAGAGCTGCAAAGTTAGTTTGCTAGACATCGACCAGCAAGAACCACTTTATCCTTAATGTTCATAAATTGCCGGACACACGTTGATTAAATCGCACCTGATGCGTCTCCCACCCTTCCCCAACCATTGAGCGCCATTATAAATCGAAATTACCAGGCCAGCAACAAGTGAGGGACGAGATTCGTGTAGATACTTTGATTTTATTATTGTAATTTCTTGGAACACTTTACATTTACATTTAAATTTATACGCCATAGATGCGAGACGATAAACGACGACTACACACACATAACAATTTGACAGTTTAATTGATTTAATTTACGCACCACATTGATACGGATCTGTGCGGGATCCTACCTCGTAATTGATATCATTGCTAGATATAGTCGTAGTTCGTAAAGGTACACTTTTGCATATATATGTATGTGTAGAGATACTCCGGCTTGCACGTTACTCGAAGCCTTGGTATATAAAGTATAAATAGGTTACAGACAGATTACGCTACTAAATTAGAACATTGAATTGGGCAAAACTTGAGATTCTTGGAGAGAAAACAACACTCAACTAACAACGAGGGAGCATCAAGTCGGGAGGATCGAGGTCCGATCGCCCGCCTCCCGTGTCGATAATAGATATATTATATTTAGTTTAATAATAATTTCACTTGTTGCATTTGTTCAGTATGGCCAGTGTCGGAGCTCTTGGCTGGGTCTTAGAAGCTGGTCTTGCCGAAGATGAAGTTGCCCGGCGCGTTCACGTCCTCGGCGGCGAAGTACTCCTTCCACAAGGCGGCGAACTGCTCCCGGGTGACCTCGCCCTGCCCCTGGGCCATCTTCCCGAACGCCTCCTCGCACTCGGTCTTCTCCAGGCCGTAGCTGGAGCAGACCAGCGTGAACTCGGTCACGTCGATGCCGCCGTCGTGCGAGGCGTCCTCCAGGTCGAACATGAAGTTCATGTAGGCGTTCTGCCAGTCCATCACGCTGCTGGGGTCCTTCGCGTAGGCGTCCCACATGTTGCACCACTCGTCGACGCTGACCTGGAACGGCCATAAAGGATGGAGCGTCGAGATTGCGGATTAGAAGCCGTAGCCCCAGATTTATGCATTTATGCATCCCGCCCCGTGCTGAAAAGCCCATTAGTAGGTGCCGCCTCGGGCGGAGATTCCCCATAAAACAGCCCATGTCCATGACTACGCTGCTTTTGGGTGTGTAATTTATGCTATCTAGTGATGCGATATTAACATTTTCTGGCTGCCAATACCAAACAAGGCAATTACCGCAACATCGCCTTGACCAACTTGGCTGACCGCCTTTCACGAGGCACCAGTTCCAGTCCAGCACCAGTACCAGCACCCCATCCCATTAATTGTGGCCAGCCGTTACGTTTTGGCATGTTTTAATACGGCCATAAATAAGTGCGAGGGTTGTATCTGGCCGGGACCACTTGTAATGCCAATTGGCAGTCCACCCCGCCGGGAACTCTAAACAGCAATTCGAACTAACTGCACACTTTTATGTTTATGGCCGCAGACTCAATCGAAAGTTGGCCCAGATCCGTGACCCTCGGATGCGTAGTCTATCGAGCTGCAGCTCCTTTCCGTCTAATTTGGGCCCGTGTCACGGCACGTTCTCCGACTTGGATTGCTGCGCAAAGTGAACAATAAATCTTAAGCCGACTGCCACAAAGGCGGGCTAACAATAGCGGGTATTTGGCATATTTTGGCAGCAAACTCCATCAAGTTCCTTGGCCGGTGGCCAGAACTTTTGTGGCTTTGTGGCAGCCGAAGTTCCACTACCTCATCGGGCTTAGTTGCGCACAAAATACCAGTAGACCAGTAAACCAGTAAACCAGCAAACCCGTAACCCTTGGAACGCGCCAATAGAATTAAGCCGAGGTTTTGTCGGTCTGACATTTCAATTTCTGTTCGCTTTGTATCGCATTGTTGCGGGTTTTGGTCGCCGTTTGTTGATATTGAACTATGTGCTGGGCCGGATTATAATTTAATTTGCTGCACTTGCAATGCGATTATCCCAGGCAAAGGGAGACCTGCAGTCTGGGACAAAGTTGGTCTTCGCTCGTAATGAGAAGAAAGTTGGTGGCAAGGAGTACCCGGCCGGAATTCTGAATGCACTGCTCAAATAATTCACAATTCAATTTCCGCCCGCTGGCAGGGAATTTGTTTACCCCTCTCGGCATTCCGCACCAATAAAAAGGGAAATTTATGAACGGAATTTCTCTTCCGTTTTTTGCGTTGTCTGTGCCAGCGAAGGACGTCGTAATGTGTGTGTGAGTGTGTTAGTGTTGGTGTGGGTGTGGGTGTCGGATGTGGGGTGTCCTGCACACTTGTCAGCTGCTGCCACAATGGCATCGAGTGCAGTCCATGGATTTCAGCACTTTTGGCACTGACAATGGAGCCAGACAAAAACCGAATCACTTGACATGTAGTTGCCTTTGCAACTCGACGGGGGAAGGGGGAGGGCGACGTGTGGAACTCACCTGTCCGTCGTTGTCCTTGTCCGCCTTGGAGCGCAGGCCAGTCCAGATTTCCATCATCAGGTCGTACGTCTCCTTGTTCTTCGGCGTGTCCTTCTGCCAGCCGCGCAGTTGGCAGACGCGCTGCAATTGGCAGAAACAATAACAGTCAGCGCGGCACTCGCAAATTGAGTTATCGGTTGGCAAAAAACTTCATGCAAAGCGGGCAAAAACATTTGCAGCATTTGCGCAGCGCTTTTGTTGATATAGTTGCCAGCATTTCTCGCATGCACTCCTCAAAAATATATTCAAATTTCTGCTTGCTTTTTTGCTAGCACCATTTCCGCTCCACTTACCTCGATGGCCAGCTCGAAGTCCTTAACGTCGATTTCGCCGCTTTGGTTCACATCTGTTGCGACACGCATTATGGGCATTGTTGTTATTTTGGAGGCAGTCGGCGTAAATTGCATGTTGTTGTCCCGCATTGTTTGCATTGGTCAGTCGGGGCCACAAAACCAAACAGAGAAGGCGAAAAAGAGCCAAAAAATAACGAATAGGGCGATGAACAATGTACGGATATTTTGGCAGGCTGCGACACAGTTCCGGTCGGCGGTGATGGTAGTGCGAACATCAACGGAATTGCACAGCCTAACTGTCACTACTCTACCTCGTGGATATCTCTACCACACTCAGAAAAATCTCTGTTAAATTTCAAAAATTATGCATATAAATGCGCCCGATTTGAACTGAATTCAGAAGGATCAAAAACTGAATGAACTAATAGTAATTGAAAATTGTTTTTTATAATTCTGCTACACTTCTGTCTCAATACTATCCAATCAAAATATATATAGTAAATAAAAAAGTTTTTAATATTTTATTTCCGCTTCCCCACTCCAACATAAAATCAATAGTGTCTTTAAAATGTTTGATCCTATCAGTTATTACCCCATTTTCAAAACGCTTTCATAGCTTTTAGCAAAGGAACTTAAAAGTGTGCGAGGTGCACACTAAAATAAGCGAATGGCGAATTTCTATATTTTAGGGTTCATTTTTCTAAGTGCCCCCACCCACGAGCCCTGCATTTGGCTTTTGGCAATGCGGGCGTACCATAATCATTTGCAACGGTGTGCAAATGGCCACTTCAGTGCCAGTGTCAAGTGTTTGGCGCTTGCGTTTTATGACCCTTTTTCCGGCGCTACTCCTTTGTTATTGCCTGACCAGCTGCCGTCGAAAGGCGGGCAACGGGCCAAGTTGGTGGGAGGATATATGGCTGGGATGAGCCAACCACACCGGTGAATTAGTCATAATTGAAAAGCACTTAACCTTAGCACACACAGCGTTGCCTACTTGCGAGCACTGTCCTCAAAAGTTGCTCCTTTTGGCATTTGCATTGCATTTAATTCAATTTTAAA